ATTTCAGTATAACTGCATCTTATAGAGCCCAGGGGAGGTAAGGCAATGCCAAAGGCCCTCGCGCGGTAGGAACTTGCGGCGGTAAAAAATGGAGTAAATTTTCGAAATCAAGTGATCATCTCGGCGCAATCACGTTTAAGCAAGATGGATTTCACTGCAATCACACTCATTTGCACGGTAAATGAAAAAATGATAGTTATTCGATGATAATAAAACTAGTAAACAAGAATTTTCAACTATTTGGAGAGAAATCACTATAGACATCTCAAGAATTGGATAGTTAGAGCAACTCTAGCAGACCCCGCAAAAATTTGACCCGCGAAACCCTTTTGCGGTTTCACGAACATCTCTTTTGCGGGTCGAAAACATGTGCCGCAGATCAGATACCGCATCTAAACTTGCATAATTTGAAAAAACGCTTTCGCGGGAGAAATTGCACACACATAGTTCATCACATCACATACTACATAGTTCATACACACATAGATCATACTAAATGCTACGTTAACTAGTATTAGAGGGAGACGGATCTGACGACCGCGAGGTCGCTGCAAAATGGACGACGCCGTGGAGGCCAAGCGACGCTCAATCCTCCTCGCCGGAGCTGACAAGGTCGACGTACTTCGTCGCCTGCTCCGCGTGGATGCGGCGCCACTCCTCTGCCTTGTCGTTGGCGGCGACCGCCTGCTGCCACTGGAGGGCTTCAAGCTCCTCGGCGTGGCGCAGGCGCTCCGCCTCCTCCGCACGCTCTGCTCAGCGATGGCGGCGGCGACGGCGTTGACGTCCGCGACGTAGTCCTCGGGCCCGACCACTCCGCGGAGGCCGCAGAGTGGGCTCCTCTGGCTCCTCCTTCACCGGGACGAAGGCGAACGGCGCCGGCGGCTCCTCCTCCTCCCCGTCATCATCCGACCACTCCCTCTTCACGGGGAGGAAGCCCTCGCCGGAGGACGGGGAGGATCCGGCGTAGGAAGATCTCGCGGAGGAGAAAGACGCGCTACGGCGGTCGTACTCCTCCGTCTCGCGGCGGCGACATCCCGCGGTTGGTCCACCTCCGGGCGCCGCGCTTCCTCGCGCCGTCCGCCCGGATGCGCCGCTCGCGCTCCGAGTCGCGCTCACCGCCGGATCTGCTACCGGAGCCGCGTCCGGAGCTCCACATTCGGCCCCACATGGCGGTTGGAGGCGGGGCGGGTGGTCGCCGGTGGCGAGAAATTCCGGAGGAGGGGAGGGGAATCGGGTGGCTCGCGGCGGCGGAGGGATAGGGTTTGGACCCGCAAAAGGGTCACAGAACCGCAGTTATACTGCTCGGTGCGTGCGGTTTGCGGGTTGCGGCAAAAGTTTTTGCGGGCCGGGCGAGTATGCGGGCTCTCGTCTGGCCAGAAAATTGGGCCTAGCCCGCATACTCGCCGAAATTTTTGCGGGCCGGGCGTTTTGCTTGGTCTGCTAGAGTTGCTTTTACTTACACATATGATATGAAATTACATACTCCTTTTCTAGAGCTTTCTATCAAGATATTTGTCAGACTATATAATTTAGATATGTTTGCCAAGGTATTTAATAACCCCCAAGTGAACACTAAATTTTATGCATGGAGGCATACAACTATTCCCCTTTTTAGATTTTTATATCTAAGGGGAAATCTTGAATAAAGTAGCTAATGTGGTTGTCTTTGCAAAGTATGATTTTAATTGAGTGCAACCATATCTAAGTTGACAAAACACTAAATTGTGTAAGGAAAAATGTCTTATCTTAATATTCAACAATATTTTTTGCATGGTTAATCTTACTTTGTACTAGACA